TAAAAGCTTGCTGAAATCCATCAAATGACAATAGTTTTCTAGTAAAGAAATTAGTCGAGCAGTGAGAGTGTGGTTCACTGAGAAGCACACTCCATCAGTTAATTATAAAGCGTACTCTGGCCACTGGTTCTAGAACATATTTCATAATAGCATCGGAACTGAGTGAGGAAGTTCAATTATGACTCCAGCATCAGCACATTCTTCTAAGATGCTTAGGCTCTTAACTCATGGGAAAAGACCAGGATGGGAACCCACAAAAGCATATTACACCTGCATTGGGAGGCTTGTAAGATGGACCGGTGGCTGTGTATGGGAATTCACAGTAAGACCAAGGGAGGAAACTTGAAGGCGGGTGATTTGATCTCTGAGGCAGTGGATGTAGAGCTGGCAATTGAAAGCACCCATATCAACAAGAAGTGGTGAGTACCTGTGGGTGCTACAAGAGCTTTGCAGCAGTCTCAGGGACAGGTTTGGAAGTAGAATATGCCATCCGAGCCTTGGTCCTTCTTGGTGAGCCTTATGCTACAGGCTTACTAGAGTAGGGCACAGTGTCACGTAGACTAGAAAAGGATTCTTCCTCCTCTAACTGGATGGATGTCACCCTTTACATAGCAGCTTCACTGGTCAGTTTTGTTCTCCTGGCCATTTATGATTAATAGGTCTCATTATAGATTGTAAGTACTTTGAGGGTTATGGGCATTTGGTGCTCTCCAAAACAGGTGACAGGGAAGGCTGCCTCAGGGTGTGGATGGGACCTCAGGATTAGGCAGATTAGTTTAAATCCCAGAGTCCTTGATAGCCCTTGCTAATATGCATAGTCTTGACTCCCAGGGCATGGCTTTCCTGGGGGTCCTGATTGGGCCACCAGAGGAGCCCCAGAAACCTGTATAGGATCGCCTCTGAGGTCATTAGTCATGTCCTAAGCTATTCATGTTAAGGTGGGAGTATAGCAGAAAAGAGAGAAGAGTCCTTGGGGAAAATCCTGCGAGGCAGATATAAACAGCAAAGTGAAAAGTTGAGAGTGGTAAATAATCTGTAGTAATGGTGTCTAGTGACAGACACTAGGCCATTATTTAGGGCAGCAGTTGAAGCACAACACTAGGGCATCTGGCAGCTGAGAGAGTGAGCATCTCTGCAGGTGGGGCGTCAAGGACATCGGACAGCAGGTCCCAAGCAGCAGCCTGGATGGCATTCAGGGCGCAGCTCTACTGCTGAAGGGCTAGGGTTCTGGGGAAGCACGATAAAACGGAGGGGCTGCTGGAGCTCCAGCAAATGGTGGGAATGTGGTCACAGGGAAGAAGGCAGGCCCTTCCAATCAGAATACAAAATCAGTGCAGGACCCACCGGCAGCAAGATTAATTTCATGCTGAGTCACTGCCATGGGGTTCCTTCAGTGGAGCATGACTCTGGGGTGGCTTGATTCAGAGTCTGAAGTGGGATAAATCTGAAAGAAGGGGCTAAATGAATCCAGCTACTGGGAGGTCTATAGGGGAAAGAAGTTAGAAAGATCATTGTAACGTGGTGCTCTGGTCACTGTCTGTCTTGAGAGAAGTTCCTGAGTGAAGCAACAAAATGTTTACTTATGCATGAGATCTTTAATCCAAACTCCCTCCTTAATTCTGAGAGTCCATGGCCAGGGTCATTATTTCGTTGTCATCTCTTTATGTCCATTTCAGTGGTTAGTGTGCTGCATGGTGGATGCGTGATCATCACTGGCCCACCCCATTCCCTTACTCAGGACATTCGTAGCTGCTGTCATTGGCTTTCTGGTCTCTTGTGAAGTGCTCAGTGTCCAAGGAATCACATATCATACAGTTTCTTAGTCATCGTACGCGTCTGAAAGAATCTCCTTTCTGTTCTCAGGGTCAAGATTCATCCGACTTTGGCTCCTCATCCCAAAAGATTGAGCCACGACAATGGTCAATTACTTTGGAATAATGCCTTTTTTGGATCATCAATTGAAAATGTAGGTACACTAATATAAGTGATATAGACTCTTTCAGTCAGAGTCTTTTCTTTGTTAACTATGGTTATTGTGTTACACTGGGCTCTCCAGAGAAACAAAACCTGTAAAGCTTATATATAGAGAGAAAGGAAAATTTCTCTTAGGAAAATGGCTCACGCACTTATAGAAGCTGGCAAGTCCCAAGTTCTTGGATCAGACGTCAAGCTGGAGGCTTTTCCCGACTCTCACAGCTGCAGGGGCTGAGGAGCTCAAGGTTGGCAGGCAGTATACTGGCTGTTGACTCCAACGAATGACAAATCTAAAATCTCCAGGCCAAATGGTGGATTGCTCACTCACGTAGGCAGCACAACAGAATCCCGATCCACAGAAGAGTGTCTCTTTTCCCAGGATGTCCATAAAAATACTGGAAGCAGGCCACACCCCTAGGGAAACTCTTTTTCAATGGATTGGCTGCTCAAAACATATACATCTGATCCCATCATTGGAACAACCCACATCACAATTGCTTACACCACACAGAACTGTGGTCCAGCCAAGTTGACACACAGCTCCAACAATCACAGTTATCATTCATTGTATTCTCTGCTCATCCTTTCTAATGCGTTCCCATGGTGGAAGATTATCTTTTCAACTCAGGAAGAACAAAGGTCCATTCATTCCTTCATTCTGTTTCATCATCACTCTTCTGGGCATAGAGAATAAAATGAGGAAAAGATACCAACACAGTCCATGTGCTGTTTTCAGTCTAGAAGGGAGGCAAACTTTCAACCAATTCTAAACCACCCCCACCCCCCAAAAAAAAACGCAAAAAAACCCAAACTCACTGCCCTCGAGTTGTTTCCGACACATACCAACCCCTCCTTGGGTTTGTGAGGTGATATCTCTATGGAAGTAGATTGCCCAGTCTTCCTTCCGTGGAGTGGCTGGTGGGTTTGAACCACCACCCTTCTGGTGAGCAGTCAAATGCCTTAGGCACTATGCCACCAGAGCTCCCCAACCAATTATAATACATGTGATAATTTAATTAAATGGACGTCTGCAAGTATTGATGAATAAGGAAAATACTCCTACATTTGGGGAGTTGGGGGTGTAAGGAAGGCTTTACAAAGAAGGTAGCATTTGAGTTGAATCTTGAAGGATAACTAGGGGCTTGTTGGGTGTACCACTAGGTAGAGAGGTTTCCAGGCAAAGAGAATGGCCTTTGTGAGAGTGACATGTCCCCAAAACGACAGGAAGTTTGAAACATGAAGGGCAGCTTGAGGAAGTGGCAAATGGATCCTACTGTAGGTTAAAGCATCTTCTAAGGGACTTTTATCAAAAGATAAGACATGAGGACAGCATTCAGGGGTGAGGACCAAAGTAAAACGGTTGAGGCAATATCTCTGCCCTCTTCAATTCTCCAAGAAACTGGTTTATCATTCAAAAAGACAACCAATTTCAGAGTTTACAACCAACACTCTTAGACAACTGAAATTTTGTAATATTTCAACAAATTAATCATCAAGATTTCCCCAGAAGTTAGGCTTCTGTGCAAATCTATTAGGTTAAGGGCAAATTGAATTTTGAGGACTCTTACTCCATCATGATGCCAACTACAATAAATGCTATGGTCCAGAACATGACCCCACACTTTACCAACCCTAACATATGTAATCTATACTTCAGAGGTTCAGAAGGAGTGGGTTTCTGCCCTTGACTCAGAGAGTCACTGAGACTTCTGGGCCAAAGAGTTAGGAACCCCTCTGAGGTAGAGATGATTCTTTCAGACATAAAACCTACCATCGTTGAGTCAATTCCAACTCATAGCAACCCTATAGGACAGAGTAGAGCCCCATAGGGTTCCAAGGCTGTAAATCTTTATGGAGGCAGACTCTTACATATTTCTCCCATGGAGTGGCTGGTGGGTTCAAAGTGCCAACATTTCAGTTAGCAGCTGAGGACAGTGTCACTATGGGCTCTCCTTGAATTCTCTTTGGCTACTGGATATATGCTGGAGAGTAGAATGCCCAGCCTCAGTTCTTCCTAGTTCCATCCTGCTCCCATGCCTCAATAGGTTTGCTGGCCCATAACTCTGATACACCTCACCTACCTTATCCCCATTCTGCTTAGCCTCAGCTTGTAATGGAGACCACAGTTGACCTATGACTCCAGCCTGGTTGACTTTACCTTCTCACTTATTACATCCATCTTGACTCTTCAGCAGACACACCTATTCCTTGTTAGTGTACCTCTGCAATCCCTGCTAGTGATCTCTGACAGGGAAGGAGCGACAGGCTATGAGGTGCTGGGTTTGCTCCAAAGTTTGCACATGAGTGAATGGCTGGGGGTGTACACCAATTAGCTCTAAAGGAAACTGTATATCTCATATTTTCACTTGGGATAGATTTTGGAGAATAAAACAAGTATTTTCAATTACAACCTATGCACGTCAGAGCCTTTTTGTGCAACACTTTTGCTCTGTATGATGAGCACCTTTTCCTCTAATTGTAGAAGGTGTACAACTTAGCAACTTTGTTATGTGCTACCTTAGTCTATAATTATTTTAATCGTGTGTGTTTTATATGTACAACTAGACTGTAACTGTCTAGTGGGAAGAAATGTCTTTTATGTCCTCAAAGGTTTCTAACATAGTAACAAATTCAGTAAATGACATTAATTGATTGATCCATTAAACCCTAGGAGAGGGGTTCAAGTCAATTACAGTACATGTCGTTCCTTCCTTGGGTTTTTAGTTTTTTGATGTTGTATGCATAAGTAATTTTATAAGAAATCAAAAGCTCAGAGATTTTTCCATGCTGACAAAAATAAAGTATCTAGGGGATTTAGAATGTTCTGTATTTTCCTGGGGTTACTCTGTAGATCTCCAAAAGATGTTGCCACTAAGAAGATGGGGTGTCTAGAATTTGTAGTCTGGATATGCATGTATGGCAGGAAGGATGGGAAAGGAAGGGGCAGGCTCTTGTTCCTTTTTTCTTCAATGAAGTAAACAGATGTTCTCTTTCACTCGTGGTTTTCAGAGCAGCACAACACTAGATTAATTGTCCCTTCCATACTTCAGATGAGAGGTGGCTTGTCCCTGACTGTTATGTGGTTGCTTGTTCTGGTTTCTTGTGAGATTACGGGCTGCCTGGATCAAGCTTGGTGATCTGGACTCTTTAGCCTGAAGACTCCTCTCTTTGGTGACATTTGCATCCATCTGACCACTTGAGGAGATGGCCTCCCATTTACTGTTGAAATGCTTCTTGTATTCAGTCTTTGAGGTGCAGGCTCCAGGATGTTTTTTCTTGTTCTTGGGGTCTTTGAGAGGTGACAGACTTTCAAATGACTTCTGGGGCACAGGCTGGAGCCAACCTGAAGAGTCTGTCAGAAGACCCTTTTGAGCTAGAAAGGGGGGGTTTCTGGATGCTGTCCAGGATGAGCCGTTCCTCTGTCTATTTAGGCAAGTAGTAGTTAGCGTCAGTCTAGGAAAGAAAGGAAACACATGCGTTTGTGCCCAACATGTCCTCTGCTTGTAGTCTTAGGGATTTGTCACAACATAAATCGTGTTTCTCTCATTTGGTGAGTTCATTCTTCCTTGACTATTTTTACTGAAGTAGAAATATATAACGAAACATTCGCCAATTCAACAGCTTTCACACGTCCAATTCAGTAACATCCATCACATTTGTCATGTTGGGCAACAAATGTCACTGTCCTTTTCCAAAATCTTCCACCACCATTGGTAGACCCTCAGTGCCCCCTGAGCAATGACTCTCTCTCCTCGTGGTTACTTCCCACCCTGGATACCCACTAACAAACTGGTATCTATATAGCTCCCTATTTCAGGTAAGCAGGGCCACTCCTCGGAAGGAAGGTTGGGCAATCCTACTTCCGTAGTGATACTGCCTCGGAAACCCAAGGAGGGGTCGCTATGAGTCGGGGCCGACTCGACGGCACATAACAACAACAACAACAGGGTCACCCAATATTTGTCCTTTTGTGACTTTTACTCAGCATGATGTGAAGTATAGAGACCTTGCTTCATTTTTTGTTCCTTTTCTCTCTCCCATTTATAATTGTATTAAATGTTTCCTTTACACACATTTAGAAACACATCACAGTGTTATAATATTTTCTTTAACCATCAAACATCATTTGAGGAAGTCTTATTCATAATTGATTTAACAGATACCCAAAAAACAAAAACCAAACTCACTGACATTGAGTCGATTCTGACTCATAGTGACCCCTCCTTGGGTTTCCAAGGTGGTATCTCTATGGAAGTAGATTGCCCAGTCTTCCTTCCGTGGAGTGGCTGGTGGGTTTGAACCGCCAGCCTTCTGGTTAGCAGTCAAATGCCTTAGGTACTACATCACCAGAGCTCCTTTAACAGATATCAGGTTGGTCTAAATAATAATAGCAACAAGGTAGTCGGTGACTATAACTGTGGATAAGTGATGTGAATGACAGCAATGCTGTAGGGGTGACAGAAGGAAGGAATTGGGACTTGTCTGTTACAAGGTACTTGCACTAGCCGTGAAGCAGTATAGTGGACTTAGATTAGTCGTAAATGTATATAGAAAATGCTAGACAACCACTGAAAAAAACTGAATTAAAAAAGCAGTATAATTGATATTCTAAGAGAGGAGACAAAATGGGATTATATAAATGGTTTCACTTAGAAGCAGAAAAGGCAAAAAAAAAAAGAGTATAAAACAAACAAACAATAAACATAGACAAAGGCAATTAATAGAAAATAGACACAGATATGATGAAAAGTAAAGGAAATACGTTTCTCTTGCTTTCAGAAAGTTTGCTTTATGCCACTTTTTTATGAAAGACCTACATTAGTATCTGTTTTCACTAAGTGATAGAAATCCAAAGAGGATTTTTGCTTTTACGAGAAAAAAAAAAAAAAAAAGATGAAAAGCATTCAGCGTTTGTTTTGCAGCAAGCCATTAAAGAGGCTCTGGTGGCGTAGTGCCTACAGCATCTGACTGCTAACCAGGAGGCTGGCGGTTCAAACCCAGCAGCCCCTCCTTGGAAGGAAGATGGGCAATCTACTTCCATAGAGATACCGCCTTGGAAACCCAAGGAGGGGTCGCTGTGGGTCGGGGCCGACTCGACGGCAGTGAGTTTGGTGTTTGGTTTATTAAAGAGGCAGTATGCACCTGTCACCAAGCCCCTCCCTCGGGCACTGCCCTCAGTGCCCCAGCATCAAGCCGCCGCAGCTCTGAACTGTGTGTGTGAGCACTACGTGGCAGCGTTATCCTAGGATTTCTGTGTTATTTGGTATGATTTGGTAGGTTATGTTTTGGGTCTGTTGTTGTTATGTGCCGTCGAGTCAGCCCTGACTCATAGTGACCCCTCCTTGGGTTTCCGAGGCAGTATCACTACGGAAGTAGGAATGCCCAACCTTCCTTCCGAGGAGTGGCTAGTGCGTTTGAACAGCCAGCCTTCTGGTTAGCAGTCAAGTGCCTTAGCCACTACACTACCAGAGCTCCCATGTTTTGGGTCTGGGATCACTCAAAACGTTTTCCCACATAAACTAATGGTAATTGCTTCTTCACCTTGCGCCATTTCCGCTTACAAAAGGTTTCATAGGAATGCTCTGCTTTCGGATAGCAGGGAAACCTGCGTATCAGTAACTGCTTTAAAGGTGAAGGGCATAAACACATTCATTAAAATGCAGATACTGTCAGAGTGGCTAAAACCACAAGGCCCCACTATATGTTGTCTATAAGAAATCCACTTAACTATAAAACAAAAATACATTTAAAGTAAAGGGACATATATGGAAAGGAAAGAGACCTCGGATAAGCAAAGCACTACTGAAGAAGAAAAACAAAGTAGGAGGTCTCACATTACCGGATCTCAAAACCTACTATACAGCCACAGTAGTCAAAACTGCCTG